TTATAATTTTGTTTTATAATGTATTTGAGGAGTAAGTTTTATTTATAGAGTATGTTCCTGGGGTTTACTTTTCAGAATAGAAATCTCATTTTTCCAACTTCCAAGTTTCAAGGTAACATTTTTCTTAAAAATGAACAAAATCTATCAGCATGCTTTTGCTTAAAATGTTTTTTAGATTTCAAATTTGCTTGCCTATTAAAGTATGATAGGAATAATAAGCTGCATTAAAAAAAGTAAAATTTGAACTTGAAGATTTTTTTACTAAGATATCATTGATATACACACTTATGAAGGTTTCACATGAAAAGCTACACTCACCCATATTATCAAGTCCCCCTTCATACCCCATTGAAGTCGCTGTCCATCACTGTAGTAAGATACCACCGAGTCACTACTTCTCTCTGCTACACTGTCTTCCCTGTGACCTCACCCCCCCACACCATGTGTACCAATCATAATACCCCTCAATCCCCTTATCCCTCCCCCACTCCTCCCCTTTGGTAACTGCTAGTCCCTTCTTGGAGTCTGTGAGTCTGCTGCTGTTTTGTTCCTTCAATTTTGCTTTGTTGTTATATTCCACAAATGAAGGAAATCATTTGGTACTTGTCTTTCTCTGCCTGGCTTATTTCACTGAGCATAAGACCCTCTAGCTCTATCCATGTTGCAAATGGTAGGATTTGTTTTCTTCTTATGGCCAAATAATATTCCATTGTGTTTATGTACCACATCTTTATCCATTCATCTACTGATGGACACTTAGGTTGCTTCCATATCTTGGCTATTGTAAATAGTGCTGCAATAAACATAGGGGTGCATATGTCTTTTTCAGACTGGGCTCCTGCATTTGAAGGGTAAATTCCTAGGAGTGGAATTCTCAGGTCAAATGATATTTCTATTTTTAGTTTTTTGAGGAACCTCCATATTGCTTTCCACAATGGTTGAACTAGTTTACATTCCCACCAGCAGTGTAGAAAGATTCCCCTTTCTCTGCATCCTTGCCAGCATTTGCTGTTCCTTGTCCTTTGGATGTTGGCCATCCTAACTGCTGTGAGGTGATATCTCATTGTGGTTTTAATTTGCATTTCCCTGATGATTAGCGATGTGGAGGTCTTTTCATGTGCCTGTTGGCCATCTGAATTTTGCTGGAGAATTGTCTGTTCATATCCTCTGCCCATTTTTTAATGGGGTTATTTGTTTTTTGGGTGTTGAGGCGTGTGAGTTCTTTATATATTTTGGATGTTAACCCCTTATCGGATATGTCATTTACTTATACATTCTGCCATACTGTAGGATGCCTTTTTGTTCTGCTGATGGTGTCTTTTGCTGTACAGAAACTTTTTAGTTTGATGTAGTCCCAGTTCATTTTTGCTTTTGTTTCCTTTGCCCGAGGAGATGTGTTCAGAAAAAACTTGCTCATGTTTATTACAGAATGGTTTTTTAGTATTTTATTATAAAGTATTTTACTGTCATAATTTAGCCAGCCCTTAAATATTGGACATTTACTTTTTCTACAAATAAAGTGAATGTAATTATACTCATCTAGTTATTTTCTTGGAACAATGGTTTTACTGGATATGCATTTTTAAAGGGATGGCTATTAAACATTTAAAAATGATTCTGACCAAAAACATTTAATTGATAATGATGGTATTTCTTTGATCATAGAACAGGGAGGGGCTTTCTAAGCAGAAAAATGTTAGAAGAAATTGCAAAAAGATAATAGATTTGACTTCAGAGAGATTTAAAAAAGTAGCCTTTATTTCAGTGGTAGAAGTAGAATGGAAAAAGCAGTCGTTTACTTTTTCCCAGGGAAATGTTTTCAACACAACAAAGGGTTAATGTCTTAATTTTATAAGGAGCTCTTATAAATGAATGAGAAAAAAAGTTATTAAAATAATGAACAAAAGGCACTTGCAGTTCATAAGAGAACTATAGACACGTGGATCATAAGAAATCAAGATTGAAACCAGATGCCATTCTTTGCATGTCAGATTTGCATAAGTTAAAAAAAAGATCTGGGAATGGCAAGTGAGGTTAACATACATACAGTTTTCTTCTCTTGTGCTTTGCTTTTTTTGTTAGCTTGTCAGCTTTCCCAGAAGGAATTGGGAAGGTTTCCATTTTATATGGGAAGATGAGGCTATAACTGGCCTATGAATTTATCTGAGCCTGGCACCTCTTTTGAGCATAGTTTTTTGGTTCTGTAATTTTCTGTTTGTTTTTTGTTATTTGTTTAGGATTAAAAAAAAGTTTTGCTAAAAAAAAATTGCCCACTTCATCCAGATTTTTAGTACATACATTTGCTTCTTTTGTAAGTCCTTTAAAAAATACAAACTAAGTGTAAAAACCTGAGCATATAGTGTTTGTGTTTGCCCATGTTTGGGGGAGATATTGTCATATTCAGCAAATATCATTTTAACTTTCATTGAAAAGTCCTGTTTTAAATCAGGAGTTAGGTGTTTTATCTACCACATTGATGAAATAATTCAGCAGCTCATAATTCTAGCCTGAGTGGTATTGGCCCTTCCTGCTTTTTAAATGTTAACATCCCTTTAAGGAAATGATCAAATATGACAATTCTCTATTATTCTCCCCACCACCATTTTTTCGGTGGGTGTTTTTCTCTGTGAAATCAAAGTCTAGCAACGACAGCATAATTGCTTTTGCACACCAGTTAAGAAACAAGAGAAACACTGAGCAGTTTCTCTAAACAGAGCTCAAAGGGGCCTTTCTGGGAGAAAGTCAGGTGGTGCGTCATTGTGCCCCACGTGACGTTTCCTCTGAGTTGCTAGCGGGACCACGGCTTTGATCTGAACCCCGTAGCCTTGTGTGCAAAGGGCAGGTTTTCACATTTCCAGAGTATGGTGGAACCTACAGAGGGGAGGTGTGTTGGCACTGTGACAGAAGTTCAAGGATGCCCACTGATAACTCAGTCTTGTTTTTGTTGAGTGGTTCCTCCTGCTTAATTCCTTTCTCAAAGATTCCTTTCTCAAAAAATGCATACATTTTCCTAATATTAGAACTTCTGACCCAGTTCTACATTTTGGTCTCTGATTGTTCAGTGGAGTAGAATGTCAGTCCTTCCAGACAGTGGTTTTACTCATCAGCTAAAAAAAGGACTTTCTGCAAGTAAATATTTATGGAGTCATAGTACTTTTACTTACCCTTTCAGAATTTTTATTTGATTTGTAGCAAAAATGATATTTTGTTAATTTGCAACTTTGCTCTCATAGAAACTTCTTTTTTAATTAATATTTTTTAGCTTTCGAAAGGACTTAAAAAAGCAGCGTACACATGTTAGAAAATAATTCTAACTTGTCAGAATTGGATAAAGCAAATTTTGAGAATCACTTACCTTTTAAAGCCACTATACTTCAGGGTGGTATGTTTACCCTTTCCAGCCCTTTCTTGTGTCCACAAATAAATTCTACATGATTATACTTTTAATAGAAGTGGGACTATACTATCCATATTGTGCAAGTTGCATTTTTCAAAGAAGGAAATAGATAATTCCAGTTTAACGGGAAATAAGCTGTTCTTCTAAAGCTTTTCTTGTTACTTTTTTCCATGTTCTTCCCATTACTTGTCTTCTTGAGTAATCCTCATTGACGAATGGTCCCTCTTGTGCCTCACTTCTGACTCTAAATTTTAAAAAAATTATTTAATTGAAGTATTGATATATATATAGATTTTAAATAAGTGTAGCTTAAAATAAATTTATAGTTACAAAGATTTTATTTGGGGAACTAAATAACCTTTTTTTTTTTTCAGCTTGCATGTAAAATCTGTACTTATCTTATGATCACTTAAAATGAGTAATATTTTCTGTCCCAAACAGCCCTAGACTAATGTTTAGTTTCAAAATTAAAAAAACAAAAAACAGAATTAGCTTAGGCTTACTAAAGGCTGGACTGGTACAGGTCCAATGGCGTTTGTGTGCTGTTCACCTCGGAATCATCCGTGAACGTTGATGCCCACTCCAACAGAACAAACAGCAGAAATGAAGGATTCACAGCGTAACTATTTTCCTATGAGAAACTTGTTGCTCTCTGTCTCATATGTTTTTCTTTATAATGGAGGGCCAGGCTTGTTCCTAGTAACTTGCTGGCTGTTCAGAGATGCTGCCTGAGTCAAGCTCTGGGTTCCTTTTAGTGAAACATAAACGTAGGTACAAGCATGTACAATCATGTTCATTTAATGAACAATAAAGTGAGCACCTGTGCACCTATTGATAACCTAGCTTAAGAAATAGAATGTGATACAGTCTTTTAGGAAGTACCCTTGCAATGTATTAATATATTTTTAAAGGATTTTCAAAGAAAGTGATTTTTGAGTAGTTAAATCTTCTCTTTGCCCCACAAATACAGCACCTTCTGTTCATTATGTCAGAATCACTGAAGGCAGCATAGAGTCGTAAATAAAGGGGAGGGCTCTGCCGACATAGGCCTAGTGGGCTCTGACCCCTGCACTGTCACATCTCATATGCCTCAGGACCTTGACCAGGAGGCCTCATCCCTCTTGCGGTTTTACTTGTAAAGTGTGGGCCCAGTGGTGATTCCTGAGGGTAGTTGTGAAGATGAAATCACACAGATATATTGTGTAGTACAATGCCTGGCATATAGTGGGAACTGAAGTCTTTAAAAAAGTGTTTTTTTTTTTTTGTCTCTCTCTTTTTTTTTAATCCAGGCTCTGTGTTAGGGAATATGGGTGTTAAAACATTATCAAGGAAGAAAGCCCACCTGGGTGCAAAATTGCTTTTTCCAGGTGTTCTAAAATACTTTGTGCAAGCGAGAGTAGATTTTTTTAGGGATTGAAGGTGCAGTTTGTGGTCCTGCCCAGGGACGGGCTGGGACCTTGGAGATGTTCCATGAGCATGAAGAGGTAGTAACAGATCAAGTTCTAGGATTGAGCCCAGCTGAGTGAGAAGTAGACTATTCAGAGTGCCTCCTGCTGGGTTTAGTATTGCTCTTTATTTTTATTTACTGTTTGTTTTTCTCTAGCTAGGTCTTGACTCTGCTAACCAGGACTCCCTGTGTGGTTTTGACTTTGGACTTCACAGCACAAGATGTAGCTCAGCGGCTTCTAACGGAAAGCATATGGACAGGTCTGCGCCTCGGCATTTTGGTGCGTCTGAAACCATCTCTTGTCCTGCTTTTCATGATAAGAGTTTTCCTGACAGCTCTTTAGTGTTAGAACGCATATGCGCTTGCCCTTGCCCTTTGTACATGTCAGCAAAGGTCTAAATGTAATACTGGGAATAATTATTTGGTAAATGCTAAGAATAAGGTCATGGGCTTCTTTATTTCTTTAGGCCAAATTCCTTGTAAGTAGATTAAACTAGAAAATCAACAGGCACAGTCTTACCACTACACTAATTACAAGGAAGAAGGTAAATATTTTCATTTTCCTTTACATGCTTTTGATTTTTTTTTATCAGAAAACATTTGAGTACCTACTGCCTTTGGGGCTCTCAGTCAGGGTCACAGGTATGAACTTGGGGGTTAAAGAGATTTAAGACCTGTTTTCCCTTACTCTTCCTAGCATTCTGCAATTTAAGTAGACTAAGTATGTTTACATTTCCTCCCACCTACTCTCATCCAGAAGCTCAGTGGGGATTTTGGTTATTTAAATTTTTTTGCTATTATAAACAACACTGTGCTGAAATTTCTTGTACATATTTTGGAGAGAATACCCATAAGTAAATTTCTAGCAGTAAAATTGTCGGGCACAGTGGGTAAGATTTCTCTGTTTTCAAATTTTGATAGATATTAGTAAATTGTCCTGCAGAGAAGCTGCAAGAATTTACAGTCTTACTGATAAACATTCTCTCAAACACTTTGTCTTAGAACAAAATTTTTTCAGTATGGTGGGTGAAAAATATTAATGGTATTTTTACTTACCTTTAACTTACATAAAGTAAAATTCACTATTTAGATATTCAGTTCTAAGAGCTTTCACAAATGCTTAGACGGGAGCATTCCTTTTAAAAAATACTTTTTTTTTTCTAATAAAAGTCTATGCTTGCTATTTTAAAAAGTGAATAAATAAAACAGGAAATTCCAAAAATTAGGAAGGAAATATCCTTGATCCAACCACCTAATGATAGTACTGTGAACATTTTTATGTATTCCTTTTACTCTTTTTGTTCTCTCTGTGTAGTTTTTTTTTTCTTAAGCCATTATCAAATTGTATATGTCACATTCTTAAACATAATATTTTATTAAGGACAAGGGACACAAGGGGAAGACAGTTCTGTCTGAGATACCTGCAAGTAAATGGTCTCCCAGCTCTGAGTTTCAGTTTCCATCTTTATATTTCAATTCACATATCTTTCTCTGCTCTGTGCTCTCATAGAGCTTTTCTCTCAAATCTCTGGTGGTCTTCAGTGACACTTGTCAAGTGTACATACCACTGCCTGCCCAAGTTCAGCATGTCCAGGCCTGTTGAGTTCCTGTTTTTCTGAGCTCTCACGCAGTTTGATAATTATCGTGTTTCTATAATTCACTCGTGTCCCAGTCTGTCCAGTAGATGGTCAGTGGCCTCATGTGAACTCCATGCTCGTTGTTGTGGCAGTTGAGGAAACTAGCTGAAAAGTTAGCTTATTTTCTTTGAGACTATCAGCATAGATCCTAAACCATTAAGCTCTTACTAAATGGGGCAAAGAGAAGGCTTGCTAGTCAGTACCTTTCATCTTTGTTATGAGAAACATACAGGTGAGAGTTCACTGCCTGAGTGTTCATAGCTGAGAACAGCAGCTCTGGCCAGTGCCTGGAGTCTGCTTACCAGGAGCCTGGCTCTGACTCATGTATATCTCAGAGAGGGTGATCACTGATGAGGAGGGACTCTGATATAAATTGAATCAAAAACTGAGCAGTGAAAGAGAAGAAATTTATCTTTTTTATTGGTGGCTCATTTCCAAGTGTCTGTGTTTGGTAATTCTGGTGTTTTTGGTTTATAGACTCTTGTGTGCTATTGACGTCAGCATCCCACTTTCTCATTACTGAACATGTTGCATAAAAATGCATTGTTTATATGCACAGTAGTTTGATCAGTAGCAACAAGAGAATTAAATTTACTGGAAAAACTGGGTTGTTTCAAAAACCTATGTAAACACTGATAATAGTTACAGAACTTACACAAGAAGGTAAGGAAGAAAGACGGAAGAGTTGTGTAATGGTTACTATGAAAGAGATTCCAAGCATATTAGAACATCTCTAGCCTTCTCAGTTGGATATGTTTAAAAATCAACATGTTACTGTTGAATGAAGACCAGCTGTTTATGAACTGCCTTAGTCTGCTGACTTTCTGTTTGGTATGGAAAAATCTCATCAATAAGTTAGTCCCATTCATTCCTTTCTAATGATAATTCTTTTAAAAATTAAAAAAAAATTTGTTTTAGATTGCCATACAAAACCAGAGCCTGAAGTGTAGTAGTTATAAAGCCCCCTCTGGATTTGAGTAGTTTCTGCTAGTAGTGTTGATGGGCCCTGTGTTTTATTTAGATTTCTCTTGCTGGGTCTGAGCTTCCAGTGATGAGCCCCTGACTCCCCTTATGACTTTTCAGTTAGCACATGGATTTCCGCTTTGGCCTCTCTCCTCCCAGTATTGCGGAGAAACTAGGTTACAGCACCTCCTCACCTCCATCAGAGTGCAGGATGCTGAGCTGATTGTGTAGGATAGTAATTACAGCGTTGGTTTTGCTGTTTGAACTAAGATCCATGGCCATGCCTGTGTTCTGTGTATGTGTGTTTGTAAAGTCAAAGTATCAGAGCACACTCTTTGGATGCAGTCTGATCATGATTGCCATGGTTGTGCACTCTGAAATAGCATTTAGCTTTTCTCTTTTCCCAATACCCACTTTCTTAGACCATCCCTGTTCAATACAATTATTATAGGAGTCACGTACATAATTTTCTGGGAGTTTTATTAAATAAAGTAAAGGTAGGTAAAATTAGTTTTAGTAATATATTTTATAGCTCAGTATATTAAAAAGGTTATCACTTCATGTAATCAGCATAGAATTATTAATGAGATCATATCACCTTTCTTTTCATAGTAAGTCTTTGAAGTCTGGTATGCATTTTATTACATTCAAGGCACATCTTAGTTGGACTAACCACTTTTCATGTGCTCAACAGTCACATGGGGCTGGTGGCTTCTGGCTTGGGTGGCACAGCTCGAGGCTCAGATTGCTTTATCTACCACTGTGAGAAGTTTTCAACTTGTAAGCTTTTGGATTTTTGGGTATTCGTAATGTAAGCCACTTCTGTTCACGGACAGTGTAATAATATATACTCATACATGAATGCTGCTTCTACCAGCTTCCCCTTTCTCATTTTTTTCTTTTTTCCTCCTTTCTCACTTTTTTTCTGTCAAATCAAGAGGCTTCCTATTGCCTGGAAAATGCTTTTGAACCAGTTCAACAAAATAAATTGATTGCAGTATTTCTAGATGTTAATTCTTATATTCATTTATTTATTTGACTTGAGAAGAAAAAATCTTCTTGATGTATTTTTAAGTTACTTATCTGTATATGTAAAACCTTTTTTTTTTTAAAGAAATTTTCTCTTTTACCCAAGGATCACAAATATGTTTTGTAGCTTATAGTTTTAGACATGCTAGAGCCCAATGATAGTTCCCATTTCTTCTAAAATAAAGAATTGATGACCTAGGAAAATGAGATGAAGTAACAGTACTATAGTGATTTAAAGACATCCTTTGGAAGAGTTGAAGACAACATAAGGGTATGTGGAAATACAGGAAAATCATGAATCCCTGAACACAGTAGGTTTGCAGAACAGTAAGCATGCCTAACCTTCCAAGCATACCTTTGGTTTTCTCCATTATTCAGGGGTAGCCAGCCACGACGGAGGTGAGCATCTAGTCACCGGGAAGTGCTGACCCACCCTGCTGCCATTCCTGGGGGCACATAGACACACCAGTTTGGTGTGTGTCATCCCTGGTTTTGAGGACCTGTGTTTCTTTCAGTTTGTCTTGCCTGCATTTTTATTTCAGTATTGTCCTTAGGCAGTGGCTTAAGGTTTAAAAATTCAAGTGATACATACACTGTAGAAAAGTAAGAGCAAAAAGTCACTTAACAATCCTATCATCTAAAGGTAATCACTGCATCTTTTAGTGATTTTCCTCCATTGTGTGTGTGTGTGTGTATACAATATAATGGGGTTATTATGGATGTTTTGTAACCTGCCTTTCCCTCCACTCAGTGATAACACTCATGTCAGTGAGTGCTTACATTATCAATTTTTAAATCCCCACAATGTCCTTACAAGAATGTACTCACAATTTAACCAAACCAGTTTTCTATTTCTAGACATTAATATTTTCCCATCCAGTTTTGGCTTCTTATATTAAGCACTATTTTAGTGAACATTCTTGTAATGAAAAATTGAGCCTATTTTAATTATTACAAAATTCCTAAGAGTAGAATTGTGGGGTCAAAGGCTTATGTGTATTGTTAGAGCTATTCATTGGTGTTGCTAAATGATCATCTAGAAATGATAAGCCAGTTATTACTCCCTCAGCAGTATATCTGTGTGCCTCCCTGCTAAAGGGACATTTAAGGATTATTCAATAGTCTTATGATTTGTTGAATGAATTGTAAATGATGCATTAATTTTATTCTTTTTTGACTTTTTCACTTTTTTTAAAGAAGAAAGCTTACATGCCCTTATGTTCCCATTAGCAGTACAGTGATAATCACATTAAAAAAAATCTTGACAGTATTAGGAATTCTTGCAGCCAAGCAGACTCCTTTAAAAAAAGAATATATATATATATATATATATATATATAT